CCCAAATGGCCCTATACCCTGTAACACCTGCTTCCTTTCCACACACAGGTACACACACTCGCACACCACTTGGTCCCCTGCCCTGTTTTCTGTTTTATTTTCAGTGTTAGCTCTTTGCCTACCTGGCTTGGTATAATTTTTTTTTATTGGTGGTTTATTGCTTTATTTCTTTGGCTTTTTTTTTTTTTTTTGATGGCCTTGTTTATTGCTATATCCTCCACTCTTAGAATAGGGCCTGGTATATAGCAGGCACTTGATAAATACTTGTTAGCTCTTCCCCATGTTGAAGTCAAGTATTTTGCTTATGAATTATTACATATGTTAGCTAGATAATATGTAAATACTAGACTAGGTACGTAATATCAACATTTTAAATTTCTTAAGGTTAGGAACTAAATGTTATAGTTCTTGTCACCATCATAGAGTCAAAATGGCACTAAGCATATAATAAGGATTTTTTATTTTTGAGACAGAGTCTTATTATGTTGCCCTCAGTAGAGTACCATGGCATCACAGCTCACAGCAACCTCAAACTCCTGGGCTTAAGCAATTCTCTTGCTTTAGCTTCCCTAGTAGCTGGGACTACAGGCGTCTGTCACACTGCCCGGCTATTTTTGTTTTTGGTTGCAGTTGTCATTGTTGTTTAGCAGGCCCAGGCCACGCTTGAACCCACCAGGGAGCTATGGGTGCTGAGCCCATAATAATGATTTTTTTAAGTGTTTAATTCTTGATTTTGTCCTTTTGAATTAAACTCAGCATTGGGAACCATCTGGAAGGCTTCTTTTCAAGCAAATGCTTGGCTCTGTCAGACATTTTACCTTGAGGCCCATTAACGAAATTTAGAGGGTTCATGGGCCTCCTGAAATTGTGCACAGAATTTAATAGATATTTGTATTTTCCTACGGAAAATGTCCATAGATTTCCTCAGATTTACAGGGACTCTATTCCCTATAGATTGAAAATCACCAAGCTGTCCAGAGATATCTAGACTGGGTGACAGATGCCCAGGGGTTGGGGTGGGGTGAGGGTAAAGGTGAAGAATCAGGGAAGGACAGGACCTCCTCTACTCCTCAGGACCCGTGACCCCTAGTTAGCTCCTCACTATTTCACACCAAGCTTGTGGGTGGAAGAGAAAAATCCAGGATTGTGCCTGCATTTTTGCATGCCATGACCGAGGAAGAAATTGGACAATTTAGTTTCCCTCTCTGGGTGTTCTCACTCCTCAGCATGTCCCTGGGAGAGGACTCAAAGGTTGCCTGGCCACGCTCTGCCTGTGGGGTCACAGCCAGGCCAGAATAGACGGGTCACGGAAGCCTTCCTGACCCTGTCCTTCCTTTGCGGTAATCACATCTCACTGCACGCCACAGCCTATGCCACTGCCTGGTATTAGCTTTAACAGTTATTTTATTATTACAACTTTGTGTGTGAATACGAGACTCAACCAGATGTCAAAATCCCCATCAAATGTTGATCATGGCGTTACACCCACAGTCATGTTTAACAATTATTTTTCAGGTGAATGATTGACTACACAGTAAACAACTAAGCAGCAGTGTTTGGTAATATCTTTAATTCAGAGTCAAGGAAAGAGCTGTCTCTTAATAGCAGAAACTTTTGGCACTTGCCCTCAGTACATGAAGCTTTTTTAGGTTTAAAATTCTGTGATCATGTATTAAAAGTTAAGTCAATGCATTGTGGCCAATAATTCTTAAATTTTACGTGATAACTTACACAGCTCTTGACAGTTGTTAAAGTATTTGCACATATTCTCAATAATCACCTACATTTTTTCAAATGTAGACAGGGCTCACAGGGGTTTCTCTAATCTATTTTCACCTTTCCTTTGGGGCAAGCAAACAAATTCATGTTGATTTCCAGAGAAATAATTTCTCCAGCCCGCTTAGGGCTAGGATCTGATAAGTTTTCTCAGTTACCGAGAGTCCTCTTCCTCTATTTAAATCTGTCTACTCTGATTCTATCTTTAGTAGGCATTTAGATAAGACCCAAGGAGTTAATGTTTTCCTGGCAAAACCTGAAGGAATACTTTGTTGTGCTTTCCCTTCTTTTATGAAGAGTAGAGAACTGCTTAGCAGTAAAACAGTCAGGCTGATCTACTTAAAACAAGGCCCCCCTGTCCAGTGGGGGATTGCAAAGATCTCACTGATGTTACTATTGGTCTGAATATGCAACCAGGGCAGAAAAATATCCATTAGAGACAGAAGACAGTCAGCTTAGAATGGTCGGCCTGCAATGACAAGTTTCCAATAGATTCCAAAGACTTGATTATGCATGAAGGTTCCAGAACCATACTTGGTCCAAGGGGAGAGTGGCAATTCTTACTTTGACACGTTCCACTCATAAAGCCTGGGGCAGTATCGCAAATGCTGATAGGGAAAATATTCTAAAGCTAAGGCTAGCGCAAGGAGTGTCAGGAAAAGAGGGAAATTTTCAGGACAGCATGGCACTGGTGGTAGGAATTACATGTCTTAAAAAGAAGCTGTTGAGGGACGAGGATCAGCCCCACACAGAGGCATCTCATACCAAATGTCCAGCAGACTACCCTTTACACTGTGGCTGCCACCGCTTGTCGTGGACAGGCACTTTGTAAAATGTGGAAAGTGTTAACAAATTGAACCAGTAGCAAGCCATTTCTATGTCAGCTCACACTAGTATTTATAAGGCTGGTAGACAGCATTCCTTGAGGCAATAGGCTGGAGGGATTTAACAGTGAGAACAGAAAATGTCCAGAGTAAGGGACATAGTCTGGAAGACAGGGATGAAATATAGTCATAAGGACACTCAATGTGGAGCAGACACCAAAGGAAGCAAGAAGTTTGAGAATGCTCACATGAGGGACTCCCAAAGCCAGTTTTGCTGATACCAATGTCTTTCCCAGAGATGGCTCTCTTGGGAGTTTCTCCAGTTAAATTAAGAGAATCACAGAAGCTCTAGTCTGACCGAGGGCAGACTGCCCTGGTCCTCGTTTCTCCTGTCACCGGCTTCCTTTGATCCCTGCCCCTTCTCTCTACAGAATTCAGGTTATTTAAATGAGCAGAGGGCAAGGAGCATTGTCAATAGCTCATGAAGACACAAAAATATTTAAGGATCTCTCTTGTACATATCTGCCTAGCTAATTAGCTCACGGATGTCATACACATTACCCAGCTCACTGTTTCCAAAATTATCAAAAATCCATATGGCTGTTTATTTAGCAGGGTCACAGATATTGGGCATCACCATCATAACTATTTGGAAGAAATCCAGCTTTATAGCAATGTAGCAAACGGTACCCCAAAGAGTGTGGCTATTGTAGGAACACTGCAAGATGATCTCACAAAGCCTGGAGAAGGGTTTGATATATGTGTTTGGCCCCAACTAAAAGGCACAAGATAGCCTTTTTATTATTTTAGTAACATCTAGCTCAGCCAGTTGTTTCCAGTCACTCACATTCTTAGGCTTTTGGTCTATTAGCATACAGATGAGAATTCTGGATTTTCTTTTTAAAGTGAGGACTCTCACTTTTCTATATTGATCAAGTTAAAGTAACATTCCTTTTGATCGCTTGGTGAATTGTGAAATGAAACCAGATTGAACCATAAATTCTGGACTTACTGTTTGTAGCAAAAGTCAACAAAGAGCGAATTACCCTTGGATTTCAACCCTACCCGTGCCACAAAGGAGCCCAGTAGCCTCCAGGCAAATCCTTTAACCTCTCTGAGCTGTTTTTGCTTTTTCATTTGTAAAAATTAGGATTATAGGAGTTATCTAAAGAAGGTTATATGAATTAAATAAGCTTATACCTGAGGAACATGCTTTAACACTGTAAAGTGGCATAAAAAAGAAGAAATATTCCCTATGTAGCATTTCAGATTAATATTACTGGGAAATTGAGAAGGTGAGGAGTTTGTTAGACAACAAGAAAGTGGGAGGAGGCAAGTTCCTGAGAGGTGAGGCTGATTCAATATAAATTTTTGGTCTTGATCTCTCTAAATTAGACCAGAATTGGAGTCTAATTGGTGAACAATCAGTAATTCACTGAGCAACAACAGTCAATAACTCACTGAGAACCTATTTAAACTTAAATTAGGTTTTTTTGCTTTTCTGGGAAGTGAGGCATGTGCCAAGGGCAGTGTTAGTGGACCAAGTTGCTTTTCCAAGTTGGTGAGCAGGTGAGTTTTAAGCCAACAGAAGCACTGGGAGATAGAAGAAAGTCTGCAAGTGAACCTGGGGAGGCTAATTAATAACACACTGCTCCCTTGTGATTGTACCCGGGGTGTTTAAAATGTCATTTGCCCCATAGAATCTGAGACCTTATCAACTCCTGATGTGGAAATTCATTTGTGAGTTCTGAGAAGCTGAGTTAGGACTTTGAATGATCACTCACATGACATGAACCACTGGGTCTTACTCCTCAGCAGAGACCTGGACAACCTCCCAGCAGCCCTGTTTGTCTTGGTCCCTGTTATTGGTATACACCTTCCAGTGATCTAAATATCTGAACAGGTTCTGTTTACTATTTAATCCCTCAAAAACACAAGAATAAATGAAAAACCAAATGGAAATGTTTCCATGGACATAGGCGAGTAACAATTGCATTTGTGCTGCACAGTCCCGATGAACACTGGTTAAGTAACTGCTGCTGCTGAGCCATAACACATTCTTTAGATACTGAGGTGGACTTTTTTAAAGCTTACTTTTTTCCATTCCTAGATTGGAATGTCCTGTAGCCACCAAAAAGCTGGCACTTCAGCTGCCTGCCTTTTCAATGATTTCCTAAGCAACATGGCAAAGACTTGTGCCTGGACGTCTCTGCTCTCAGTGGACTCTCTGCAATTACAGTTCTGAATTTTGTTTATTCTGTTCCCTCCACATGCTAATTGAATACATAGATTGGATGTTAGGGGTTGAAGAGTTCAGAAACATAAACAAGGCACTTTGGAGTTTTTGGTGCAGAGACTACTGGCACATAGACATGCTCACTGACTTTTCCTCTCACTCACCATTGCATGATTCAGCCACACTGGTAAGATATCATCTAGAACTTTGGGGTAGATGAGTTCTCGATTGTAGTGAAAGAGGGTCCAGAATCCCAAGAATACAAACTGGAAGACAAAACACAAAAATACTATCATTAGGTTTGTTTTTAATCTGAGCCTTCTAAGATAACCAGGTAAACATAGCCAAATAAAAATACATGCCCATTTTAAAGCTCTTCTATATATACGTTATTGGAATGTAGAATGATGTGGGGGGGAGGGGGATATTGTTTATTGTAGAGTTGCTGTATGTGCTCTCTCCAGGGACCCCTCAATGTGCCTGTAAGTTGGGGATCAGTTATTTGTCGTCATGGCAGATAGAGAAGACACAGATAAAGAGCATGCATGAGCCATTTTTTTTTTCTTTTCATTAGCCATTATTTTAGCCAATGACATCTTTCTCTAACTTTCACCAGTAATGCTGAGAGTGGGCACATGGAGAGGCTTGAGTCTTACACTTTCCTTGCCCACCCTCTAAATAGACGTGGCAGGAGGAAGCAGAAGACTGGGAACGAGCGTGGGAAGTGCCAAGTTCCTAGGACCATGCACAAGCTGGCTAAGTGAGAGGTGCATTTCTCCATTGCTCAGAATTTTGAACCGATCTCTTGGGCTCCCTGTCTTCTCATGGCATCTGTCCTCTGTGTTGCAAAGTCAGTGAAGAGATGGAGGGAAAACGTATTAACCGCTGATCTTCCTATCTGCTGAAATTTCATAGGTTCAGTTTCTAAGCCTTAAAAAATGAATAGTCTTTATTATTAATTGAAAAAAAAAAAAACAACCATGCCCTGGAGAAGATTCTATGGGGGGGTGGAGGTAGAGGTACCCCACAAAGTGCCACTGGAATGCCAGCACTTGCTCTGTTATCTGAGAACTCAGTAGTGTTGGGAGAGTTTCATTTAGCATTCAAGTTTGAAGTCTGGGTGCTCGAGAAAGCAGGACAAGGACAGGTGGGAGAAGGTAGTCACTTCTAATTATAGGCCCTGCTGGGCAGCTGGCAGGCTTGATCTCAGTTTGTTTCCACTCCAGCTAAGGAATGCAAACATGAACGATGTCACAGAAATGTGGACCGTGTTGGGACACCAGCTCACTGCTGCTGGAGTATGTTTTGCTTCTTCCTAATGTCCATTCATTCAACAACACCAATGAGGCACCTACTGTGTACCCCACACGAGGCGGGCTTTCTCGCCTCAATTGTCTTGTCCATGGCCCAACTCTGAAGATCTATATCTTTTTTGAAATATATTTTTAACTTGATGGTTTTCCATTTTCAGAAGTAACATATGCCTGTTGCAGCAAATGAAAGAAGACGCAGAAAAGAGAAAATAAGTCATCTCCCTCCGCAGGGGTCTCCGTTCCTATCGCCCTGAAGGAAACAAGGTTGTGTCAGTTGTATCATAATCAAGAGGGCTCCCTCAACTCCCCCATTAGATAGCAGCAAGGATCTTGTATTAAGTCTGAGGATAAAGCTGGTCTGTGACATACCCTATTTCCTAAAGACAGTGGGCAATGTGGTGCAGTCCTCAGACAGGACATGGATGCAAACACAATTGCTGTGGTTCCCAAGATGGGCTCCGAAACAGGCTTGCTGCCCAGGAGAAGTGTCTGTCCGTGCACACATGTCTGTTGTATTGCAAACACATCTCTGTAACTTACTGTGGATACAGGAAAAGCCAGTGCGGTGAAAAGCAGGTCTCTGAAGGCAGTTAGGAACTTAATGTCTTTTCTCCCTGAGATTCTTTTCAGCACATCATCCAAGCAGGCGACCCCGTAGAAAATGGCCTGCAAGAGCTAAATTCATTACAACAAATGAGGGCATTTTCATTTGCTTTAATTAATACCTTCTTCCCTGATGAAAAACTCCATCCCTCTGGGAGCAATGCTGACATGAGAGGGAGTGGGTTGTTGGCCATTTTGGGTGAGAGCCAATTCCAGGGCTGGGCTTCCAGCTCGTTGGGTCCTGACCTTGCTTGCAAAAACTGATTGAATAAATTCATTTGGGGGATAATAATGTGTACAGTATTTAGTGTAATGGACTTGAGCTGAGATGGAAATAAAATAAAGAGTCAGCTTAAACAGAGAATGTAATGAGATAGATATCTTGGTGCACAGAGGAAGGAAAAACCAACTAAACAGCACAGGGCAAAGAAACCAGACACAATGGTGGGCACAGTCGGGCATCCCCACGGGGAGAAACATTATGAAAAGTGCCTAGAGCTGAAATCTGAATAGAAAGGCCAGACCCAGGTTCCTGAGCACCATGCGAAGTTCTGGACTCTCCTGAGAAAGACAGGCAAGGTGGTGTCCTGCTGACCTGAGAGAGGAGCTGGCATATTTCCTTCTTTATAGGAGGTACCTTACAGAGAGATCTTGCCGAGGGAGTAATTTAAATCCACAGGGATAAAGCAAATCATGGGCTCTGGATGGTTACTAAGTATGGTGAGGTCCCCAAGACAGGGTAAAACAGAAGCAGGGTATGTTTCAAAAAAGGAATACAACAGCACAGGCAAACTCAGCCAATTCTTACTATTCTGCACAATCTCAGGGCTCCTCCTTTAAAGCCTGGTGGGTTGGTTTTGAGTTATACTTCCATCAGAATCCATGCTAATCTGTGAAAGCTCTGGACTGGTACAAGAGTGGCAGTCTGGACTCTGCTTTTTGGGCATGAATCAGGCAAGTTCTGGAACCTGGGGAAGTTGGACTGGTGATTGAGCAAGTCAGCTGCTGGGGAACAATCTCTGAGGTCTGGACTCACAGAAGGATCTAGCACAGCTGGCTTTGCATCACTGGGCTGAAGTGATGGGTCAGATCAGCTGCCCCCATTGCCTGGGAGCTCGTGAGAAATGTGGAACCTCAGCCTCAGCCCAGACTATGGAATCAGAACCTCTGGAAATAAGGTCCTGGAGATTGTTTTCAAATAAGCTCTCCAGTGACCCTTATGTAGGTTAAAGTTCTAGAACCACTGAATTAGACATAAATTTAGCATTCAAGAATCTTACTGATTACTCAAAGCTGGAATAGATGACTTTTGGTCATCCCTCAACATGTGCCAGGTGCTGAACTAAGCTTTTAATTCTCATAACAATTTTATGAGGTAAGTCCTATTATTAAGCTCCAACCATCACTATATAATCAGATGAGGAAACTGAGGCACAGAGAAATTATCAAACTTGCCCAAATTTCATGACTGGTAAATACCAAAGCCAGAATTTGAAATGCATTGCTTTTTCTTTTGAGCTAAAATTGAAAAATTTTTAGGTTTCTATCAGTTTTCTAAGAATATTTCAGATAAAAGACTAGGGGAGGTCAAAAGAGAGACAATTTTTTTCCAGGTGAGAGAATTAAAAACAACCTCAAAGGCCAGACATGGTGGCTCACACCTGTAATCTTAGCACTTAGGAGGCCGAGGCAGGTGGGTTTGCCTGAGCTCACGGGTTTGACACCAGCCTGAGCCATAGTGAGACCTTGTCTCTAAAAATAGCTGAGTGTTGTGGTGGCACCTATAGTCCCAGCTACTCGGAAGGCTCCCTTGAGCCCAAAAGTTTGAGGTTGCTATGAGCTATGACAGCACAGCACTCTACTGAGGGGTGACAGAGTGAAACTGTCTCAAAAAACAAGAAAAACCTTCCAAAACATTGATGCCCTGATTCTCACCCCTAGATTCTAATCTTATGGGTCTGGAGTGTGGCCTCTTGGCTTGGGGGGGTTTTCTTAGCCCTCCGAGGTGATTCTAATCCTGGGCAGCTGAGGTTGAGACCACCTGCTTAGAGGAATTTCTGCTTGGCAATTCAGGTCCCATTGTCTCCATGGAGATGGGGCTGGGAGATCCCGGCTGTTGGACCCTTGTGGTAGGATGAGACTGCCGGGAAGACAGAGGAGAGAGGGCACAGGGCAGAAGGGGGAGTGAGTACCGGGAAATGCCATAGGATGGGGACAAATGTGGCAAAAGTGGCAAAGATTGAGAGAGGTCATGAACTCCATGGGTCCTAAGGGAGGAGGAAGCTTCAAATTGGAAGAGGGTGTTTCAGGGAGGGGTTGGGCAACAGTTTTAAATGTGAAAAGAAGGGCTTGCTGCCCCAATCCTTGTTGTTGGTGCTTTTGCCATCCAGCCCTTGAGAGCTGTAGAGTTTGGACACACAGTCATCTGCACAAGGGTATTAGAAGAAGGTGCCTCCCCCCCCCCACCCCCGGTTTCACTTCCAGTGGCTCAGGCTACAGCAGGCCCCCCGCTTTGGTTAGGAAAGCAGGCACGGGCTGGGTGCAGAGGCCTGCGCTGTTCTATCAACACAGCAATCCATCCTGCCCTGAGTGTCTGCCAGGTCTTCCTCTTTGGGGAGAGGCCGCCTCTGCCCAGCAGGAGAAGCTCATGTGACCATCTTTCCTTAGGCGAGAGCCTTCTAGAGTCATCATGAGTCAAGTATAGTCCTGACTTTCTTTTGCTTTTCCCAGTCACACCATGTGGAAATCAGATTGGAGGAGAAGAACATATTACTCAGCTCCTCCGGGACTTCACTATCAGTAATAATGTGCTCCTCACTGCAAACTTGCCAGTCACCTCTCCCCCCTCCCGCCAGGGCTCAGGCGTGTGTCTCTGTGGCTCAGGGTGGCCCTGTTGCTATCGAGCTTGCTCAACGTTGACCGGAGGGTGCTGAGGGCCCGTTCGGATCAGCTCCCCCAAACCCACAGTCTGCTCATTCTCCAAGGATGGTGCAATGCAATGTTTACAAAACAAGCACAGAGGGAACAATCAAGGGAGACAGTGTCAACTGCTAGGGGCTGAACTGTGTCCCCAGAAAAATCCATATGTTGAAGGGTCTTTAAGGAGGTCTTTAAGTTAAAAATAGGTCAGCAGGGTGGGCTCTAAGCCAATCTGATTGGTGTCCTTCCCAGAGGAGATGAGGCCGCAGGCACACTCAGAGGGACGACCACGTGAGGACACAGTGAGAAGTCGGCCAAGGAGAGAGGCCGGAGGAGAGGGCAGCCCTGCCCACACCTTGGTCTCAGACTCGCAGCCTCCAGACTGTGAGAAAATAAATTCCTGTTGTTGAAGTCTCATCTGAGATTCTTTGTTTTGGCTGCCCATAGTAGCATTAAACTCAGACAACAATGACTGGTCATCTTTTACAACAAAATTACTGTCATTTATGTTTTTTCAGCAATTTTGGCTGCCCTGGAAAGCAGACTTCATGGCATCTTCTTGTTCAAAGTTCATTTCAGAGCACCTGCTCCCTGCTTTATCTTGTCTACTGGTTCTTCTTCCTTAATCCTCCTCCAGCGAGTGTTCTGTGCCTTTCCCTGAAATGCCGCTATTCAAAATTCCCTGGCTGCCTTTCCTTTCTGTTGCTAGCTGACAAATTTACCACCCGCGACAGGGCTGAATTGACATTTTTTAATAACTAATGCAGTTTGAGCAACTGTAGCTGAAGGATATTTAGTTTTTATATTCATGGGTCTTCACAAATCCACAAAAATCTTCAAATCCATGGAAACGTAGCCTTTCTAAGTCATCAAGTTTATTTTCTTGCCTTTAAGCCAGAACCCTCTTAAACTACCCCAGGAAATGAGAATTTTCTTCTATTTAAAAAATAATTCCAGAGAGGGAGATTCCACAAGTTTTTTGAGCAAAACATTACAACTCTTACTAGATGAGTCAACTAATCCAACGCCCAACTCAGAGCTCTGGGCCTGACTTAGCCAGGCTGGAACTCTCTTCTTCCTTGACTTGGAAATGATGCAACACAGGCTGTGGGAGACCTTTCTAGAACAAAGCAGCAAAGTGGGACTAAGTGTGATGAGTGCGTTCCATAGGGTGTGCTTGGGGCAGGTAGAAGGGAAACTTTGGCAAGTGTGTATCTGTATTCACTTGTAATATATCACATCAACCACCATCTGTGTGCACTTAACTTCAGTAAGAAACTTTATTTCATATAAAGAATGCAGGAGAGGGCTCGGTGCCCGAAGCATGGTAGTTATAGTGCCAGCCACATACACCAAGGCTGGCAGGTTCAAACCCACCCCAGGCCTGCCAAACAACAATGGCAACTACAACAAAAAAATAGCCGGGCATTGTGGTGGGCACCTATAGTCCCAGCTACTTAGGAGGCTGAAGCAAGAGAATCACTTAAGCCCAAGAGTGAGGTTGCTGTGAGCTGTGACGCCACAGGACTCTACTGAGGGCCACATGGTGAGACTCTGTCTCAAAAAAAAAAAAAAGAAAAAAAAATGCAGGAGAGGATATAGTGTGAAAAACCCAGCTGAGAATAATGAGGATAAAAAATAGAACATTGAGGCAGGATAGACAAATGTGTAAGAATTCTCTGCCAATGTCACAGAGCTGACAACGACTGGCAGCAGGACAGTGATAGGACAGCTATGGTACAGAGTTCCTCACAGGTGGGATGGGCTTCCCTTCAAAGTGGCTCATGCCAGCTAGGACCACTAGTCATTTATTCACTCAACCAACATTCCTAGAGAGCTGGTTAGGTACAGCATTAGACATAATACAGGCCAGGCCAGGCTCTGTTAACATGTCTTAAATAAGAATAGGAAAAGAAGGAGAAGAGGAGGAAAAGGAGGAACGGGAGGAAGCAGCTTTTCTGTCTGTTTACAGCTTCACAGCAAGTAGGTCAGTTTCCTTGGGAAACAGAGGCTGGGATTTGATGTGCCCATGGGGGTGTCTGCCAAGGAATGCTCTCAGATGGCCAAGAGGGGGAGGGAGGGAGCAGGACTGAAGTGTGGAGGCTAAGAGCAAGGCAGTTGTGTGGGATCAGCTGATCCCTGCAGGAGCTCAG